GTTGGCAGATAAATAGGTATATGTAATGAAGACATTTATCTGATTAGAATGAGACAAATGCAACTATTATTCATGCTGATATAATATGCCAGAATTGATTGTTTCAGTAATTTAGGGATATGTATGTGTGTGTGTGTGTGTGTGTATGTGTGTGTGTTTGTGTGTACATACACACACACACACATATATATATACATACATACACACACATATATATACATACACACACACACATATATACGTATATATACGTATATACATATACACACACATACAGAAACACACACACATATATACATATACACATACGTATCTACATATATATATGTATATCTAGTTGTATATATTACAACTAGATTGGAATGGATAGATTCACTGTCTGTCCCTTCTTTTAAATGTCACTTGGTGGAAGTTATTAAATGGGTCTTTTTGTAGTTGCTCCTACTCTGTGGAACAGACCATCCTCAAGATACAGGGGACCCTGCCTTTCTTGCCTTCTGGAAGGCCATTAAGACATGACTTCCCTCGCCAATTGGATCACTGGATCAGTGAAAGAGAGCCCAGTATTTGTAGTTCTGAGATAGCATTGCAGTACTGCATGGAAGTATGAATTTTTTTTAATTTTCTAAATTCATTTTTGGTCTATTTGTTGTTAGCTGTCCAGACTTAATTAATTTGACATGGGCAGCCATACAAATATTTTAAATACATACATAAATAAATGTGTACTTTGGTAGCAGATGAAAATTGTAATTAAGAGGACAAAGGTTCTTCAAGGTCCAAATATCATAAATTTGATCCATTTTAGAATCTGAGCACATGAGAACCTTATTCATTCGCCAATCTATTCATTCAGCAACCGTTAAAAAGTTTCAATGATGGTGGATGAGTAATAGTCATGATCAGTCGTCAAAGGTCTGGCTGTTGCTATGCCCTCACAGTCACATCATTGCCATTTGCAACCTTCCCTCCTGACTCTGCAAGCAAAGTCAATGGGGAAGCAACCAGAGAAGGATGCAAGTCGCTCTGATAAATCCACCATCCTGGCCTCCCTGTGTTCACACATGGCCTGTGCTGTTTCTCCCAATTTTTTCACACAAACCCCATGGCACTCTCCTACCCATGCATCCCCCGTGCTTCTTACCTGGAAATCCATCTCTTTCCCATTTACCCATGTGTCTCAGGGTTATGTACCAACTAGGGCTGCCAGTATTGCTGTTGCTAAACAATATGTCATGTGATGTCACATTTTACAACATCATCACCTAGCAACAGCAATAGCACTTAGCCTTATATACTGCTTCACAGTGCTTTTACAGCCTTCTCTAAGCGGTTTATAGAGTCAGTATACCACCCCCAACAATCTGGCTCCTCATTTTACCCACCTCGGAAGGATGGAAGGTTGAGTCAACCTTGAGCCTGGTGAGATTCAATCTGCCAAATTTCAGGTAGCCAGCAGTCAGTAGAAGTAGCCTTCACTACTGTCTTCTTAACCACTATGCCACCGCGGCTCTTAATAGCAATCCTGGTCCAATTATCATCAGAACTGGAAAATTATTTTTACTAAATTAACATATTTTTTTAATAAACAGTACATTGGCTATGCATATTTTGCTAGACCTATTAATTGTAGGCATGTGGCATACTCAAAGTCGTTACTGCTAACATTTCTTTCTTTGTAACCTATGTAGCCTATTAGTGGAATGACAGAGTTTAGATTACAGATAGTCCTCATCTTATTATGATAATTTGAAATGAAATCTTAGTTGTTGAGTGAAGTGGTCATTAAGCAAGATATCCACATGACCACTTCGTTCAAAAACTGCAAACGAAGCTCTCTGTGTTGTGGTTGTTAACAGAGTGAAAGGACAGGCAGGCAGCAACCCTCCACGTGTGAAAGAGAACTCCTGCACCAGGCAGCTGGAACCAAACATGGATCCCAAATATCCGAGCCCCATTCCTGCAACCCAGTGAGTATCCTCCCCACTCCTCCTGCATGGAGCAAAGGGAAAATCCTTCAACAGGTGGCAAGAACTTCCAGCCTTCCCTGCCAGCTTCCCCATTGAGTTTTTGGGAAAGCTGGCAGAGAATTGCACTTGACAACCCATCATAAGTGGGAAGAAGCACTCAGATCACGACCATGTATCTAGAGGGGCAGCACAGTGTTTTATATACTCTTTCTGAGACTGTTGTAACTTTGAATTGTCGTTAATCATTGATTTAACAATGGTTGTAAGTCAAGGACTACCTGTACCCCATTTTAGTTCACTGATAAAGTACTTAAGGGAAATGCACTGCCAACCTCCTCTAGTGTCTGCTATGTTGTTGCCTTGAGAATAGTCTCAATATTCTAAGAAAAATCTTATTCTAAGTTAAAAAAAAACTTTCCTACATTGTTAAATAAAGCAATTTTCATATCAAATCAACTCCTTCAATTCTTTTATAAGACTTAGTTTTTGATTCCTGATCACTGCCATTCTTCAAATTTCTTCTGCTTTTGCCAAAAAAAACAATATAGTTTCATCCATCTGGTCGTCAGAAGTTGACTCAAAGAAGTATTTATGTTTACTGATAATTGTGGCATATATAAATTTAGGTGCTAGTGTAAAATCTAATAATTCATGGCTTTCTTTTTTTCGTTGCAATCCTTGCATCCCACAAGGCAGTTCTATCAATGAAATAATCGTTAATAGAATAATAATGGTTTGGACTCAAACGTTTTAATGCCAAGAATAAACATATTGACGTTAGTTAATATAAACCGTGCTGACTTTAGTGGACTTGTTCTGTATGTAAATAAATAAAATGTTGAACCCTCGCCATGTATTTATTTAAGTTTTGTATTAAAATTAAGATCTTCTTTTGAACCAAATAAGCGATAGTAGAAATATTCAAATGAAAGAGGTCTATATCTTCATGTGTATAAATATAAAGTGATTGTTTCCAACATTAATTAATGTACAAATTGATTATAATTTTATAGAAAATAGAAAATGATTTTATTATCAAATTATTCAGCAATGTTTAATTATTAGATCTGTAGTTTATAAATACAGATTGTTTATTAAAACAAATAAAATAACGAAATTCACTCTTCACAGCAAATATTACTGCTTGTTCCAGCTGTCTCTTTCAAGTAAAAACTTTTCTTGTGCCCTGTACTGACAAATCATATTATGAAGTGTTAGGGTACTGGTGAAGCAAACAAGAAGGAACATCTGTTTCAAATCCTTTATGGATTGCTTTCCAATTTTCAAAGTTATTTTCAGGCTCCCTAAGTGCGATTCTGTCAGTTAATTTGACCAATAGCAAAAATAATCATCCTGACAGTAAAATAAATGTTAGTAGTGGTGGACGAGGAAAAATATCAATCAACTGTCATGTTAATATGTTCAAATACAAACTATATAAATCTTAATCTGTTTATTATTTATGCAATTTTTCATAGTATAATAAAGCTTTATAGTAATATATATATCTATAATGTTAGATTGTGATATGGGTTTACGGCACTCCTTCCAATATGAAACCAGAAAAGTACCAGCACATGGGGATGTTCTGAAGCTTTGTCTGCAATTCCTTAAAAACTATTTTGTTGGGATTTTTCCCTCCTGGAATCGTGTAGGTGTCCATAACTGCAGTGTGGTTTTGAGAAAAGGCCTATTTGTTTTAAGGAGCTGTAGAAAAATGCTACAGGAATGCTTCTGTGTATTCCAAAGCACATTTTTGCTTTTAACTCTCAAGATATTTCTTGGCGTAATAAACTACTGAATACTTTCTCCACTTTACTCTTGGTATTTGACAGCATGATATAATTTTTCTTAATTAAAAAAAATCAAAGTCTTTTACAGGAAAAATGATCTCATTGAGCAGAAAGTATCTTTTTTTTTTCTCAGAAGACCAAAGCTAGGGATAAACAGTTTTGGAAGCTGTGGGTAGTGCATACATTTTCGTAAATATATAAATGAAATAGTTAAAATTTTCTGATTTGAAATGCATCTCTACAAGGGTTACTTTACAAATGATTCTGAGATGGACTCTCTTCTGATGGGGTCGGAGGTGATCAGTGAGAAAGATCCACGTGGAGAGAAAACAATGTGAAATATCTACTTGATGGTTGTCATTGAGAAACATGACCATCTCATGAATGACTGGTTCAGGTAGTCCTTGTTTAGGGATCACAATTGGGATTGGCCTCTTGATCATTTAGCAAAATGGTTGCTTATTGAAATTAAGTGTGCTTGTGATCTATCTTCAGCTTTCCTTTGCTTTATAGACCTGTAAAGGTTGTACATGCAAGAATTGGTCACAAAATTACTTTTTCTCACAGTCATAACTGTGAATGATCACTAAACAAGGCAGTTACTAAAAGAAGATTACCTGTATTGCAATTTGATGTCTTTTACATTCTTAAACACTTAGTAGCTCTTGTCTGGTTTCAAAAGAAGCTAAAGGTGAAACTTCGTATTTGCATGGAGTTTAAAAGGAAATTATACTGGGAAATCAATGATGAAGACTACCTATGTTCTAGAAGAAAGCAATGATAAACTTGTATATATTCCAAGAAAGCTGCAGGTACAGGCATGAAGATACTTTAATATACTTGAGCGTATAGTGATTTAGCATGACTTCACCCACACATTGTGTTTTGATTTCAAAACGTTAGAATAGGGCCTAAGTTGACCCTTCCAGTTTGTGTGCCCAGTTATTCTTGTCAAATGTTTGTGGTTACCTAGTTGTGAGGGTTGAAGAGGAGGAATGGCTTCGCGTCAGCTGTAAAACAGTTTTTAGAAGCTGGAGATACATTATATTGGCAAATGTTTAAAGTTTTAGCAACTTAAGTCATCCAGTCTTATATATGTAATGAAAACATCCAGGGAATAAATGAAGAAAAGGGATCAGATTTGAAAGCTTACATTTACCCCTTGTTAATCTTCTATCTTCTTCTTTATGTATTATTATTTTATTTTTTATTATTCTTTTTATTAAAAAAAGACTGTATGTATGTAGTTATGTTTCATCATAACTCTGGAGTGCCTGGAGCAATTTCAACCAAACTTGATGTACAGATGACTTACCCTTTGGAAACAAATACTGGGGGGAGGGACACCCCTACCCCCCCCCCCTGGGGTGTGAGTTCTGTTAAGATACAACCTGTTGTGCCTTAGCTTCTGCATAGCACAATGGCGTTACCATGGTAACAGCTTCACAGTAATCCACAAGGGAGCTCCCTCTGATGATGGAGAAAATCCAACATTATAAATTATGTTTGATCTAGACATTTGTGAATGTCTAATACAGAATTGGGATAAACAAATACCCAGGCAACGTTGAGTTGATAGCTAGTGTGTAATAAATTTCAAGAGAAGACTACAACATATTGATGAACTGCTAATATGTTCTGTATATTAGTTGCACTAATAATAGTAAACCTGCTGGGGAAAGCATGTGGAACATAGCTTTTGGAATTCTTTCCAATCTCTTAAAAAAAGGTTTATATAATGGGGAAGGAAGAATGAGTGGGCTTAGAAGGATCAATTGGTAACATTCTGAACTATTGTCTAACTCTTTTTCCTATGAGGATCCACTTGAGATTATTTTTTTGTTTGTATTCTTTGGCCAGATATAATACATCTTTATTTTATTTATTTATTTATTTGCTCATGCTGTACCAAATTTGGTCCTATTCTATTTAGCTGCTGACAGATAATTCTAACCCTTTTTATATAACAACTTTCAAAAGTTCTGCTGGGTTGGAAAGAGAAGGGACATGCGTTTCTTACTTATCATATAGTTATATTGTGATAGTTTATTATACAGTAGTGAGATGACTTCAAATTGTGTTTTTTATTTTTGTAAGAAAAAAATATATCCACCGTCGATCTTTTGGAAAGTAAGGCTATATAATGAATGTTGCCTTTAGATTTATTTTTAGCAAATTTCCCAAAATTTCCATTTTTACCACTGCTTTTTTATAGATAGGAAAAATCAAGTTTTTAATAAGCTCCTTTTTCTAAGAATAAGTTAGCGTTAAAATAACATTGCACATCACTGTTGAAATGCAGAAAATTCTGCTTTTTCTTGACCAGTTTTCACTCAATTTGATGAATTTGCTTTAGGAATCCTTTCAAAGAAGGGAATGTTGGATAAATTCTCATGACTCGGATTTGCCATTCATTCAAATGGTCAAAGGGTATCTGCGAAAGACTTAAATTTTATTTTACAGCCATCTCTCCCACAGTTTGTAGCCTCTTCTTGGCATCCAATACTCAACTTAAATCCCAAGAGAAGATGCCATGAGGGAAATTCTTCCCACTGAGCTTTTTCAGTAGCAATACTACTGTTACCGCTAAGACGGAATGAGAAATGGTTGGAGAATTTCTTCTTCCCCTGGAGAAATTCAGATAAATTATCCATCCAGATTCTGGGATCACAAATTTTTGGTGAAGAATGTTGACAGACTATTTGTGCTGTCTTGTGGAATGCCATTGGAGAGGACACAAAGTTCCAAAGCCTAAGCAGTTCCTGGAAAGATCCGCTGCTTGTTCAAACGTATTGTGATGATTGCTGAATCACTATCATGCATTTGCTTGTAAAGATGATTTAAATAAAGTGCCCGGGTTACATGTGAAAAAAAAAGGGCTTTCAAATATTTTTGTCCCAAACTGGTAAATATTTTTCATAAGTTGTGAAAAATGGTCATAAGTAGCTTTTGTCAATGCCGTTGTAATTTTGAATGGTCGTTAAATGAACTGTTGTAAGTCGAGGAATTCCTGGCAATTGGAACTGTTCCTCATGAATAATGAGTAAGGTTATTTGTGTTCCATTCAAATGGCATGAGAAATGAGTCATTAATGCCCATCCCTACCTATCTCTTTTTATCTTTAGTACATTTGTCAGAGTGATCTTCACATGATTCAGAGTGAATAGTCACACCAAGCAGCATGCTTATTGTCCGGGTAGGAAAATGTAGACTGTTTGCCTTCTCTTAGCTTTTATTTTATTTGTTTATTTGTAAAAATATATATTCTCGCGAATGAAGGTAAATTTATAAATTTAAATTTATAAATTTAAAATTTATATTCTATTTTTCATAAAGGATTCCAAGCCCTTATGGAAGACACTCTTGAGCAGCTTCTGACTATTGCCCTTTGGTCTGTTCTTTGGTTTGTTCACAAGGCAAAAAATTGTTCTAGACCAGGAGTGTCAAACTGGTGGCTCGTGGGCCAGATGCGTCACATGCAGGCCACATCCACCCCGCTCCGCAAAATCAAAAGAAAACTCACATGATATCACATGATGCGATCGTGTTTTGATACCTGTGTTGTAGACTTTTTAAGCATTACTTTGAAGGATTGACCATAACTCCCAAGAAAGATTACTTAATTTGTTTATTTGATGTCAACTAACTTTTTTAACTCCTACAAAGCAGGCCATTATGTATGCCTGTTCTTCATCTCTTCCTGGTTCAAGGTCAGGTGACATCTCATTTGCTGGCTTCCAAAGTTTACCTTACATACTAGCATTTGTAGACTTGGGAAAATACTGAAACGTTTTAGGAAAGGACCTACTGGTCCTATACCTGGTGATATTTTTGAACATGCAGTCATGAAGATTAAGATGGTCCAGTGCACAGAGCATTGCTATTTATCCAGGGAAGTTTAGGTTTAGACTTTTAACTCAATTTCTTCAGTTCCGCCACCTCGGGAAAGAAAATAACTGATCCTAGAGAACTAAGAAAATGACTTCCTCTTTCAAAGAATCTACCCCCTTGCCTCTCAAGTATCCCATAATTATCCATCCCACATTTCCCATCTCTAGCCCAATTACTTTTGACTGCAACTGAAATCAGCAGCAATACATTTTTTTTTAAAAAAAAATGTAATGTGTGTCCAATAGCTCAAAAATTATAGTCCTCTCAGGCATGTCAGCACTACATAATAAATGGATTTATTCCTTAAGGTTCAGCCAAGACCATGAGCAAGATGCTAGAAGCTTTGAGGGGAGAAGGAGAGGGCAGTGAAAACCTCTTCTAATTATAAAAAAGTTTTCTCTAGACTTTCTGTTACCAGTGGAAGGAAAGGAAGGAAACAACAATGAAAATTAAATTTTAAAAATATCCATTCCTACAATTGTGCAGGTCAGAGGAGTTTTTCACAGTAAAACATGATAAACGTGGAGGTAATAACCAATAGATAGCAAGCACTACATATTTAGTTTTGCCAGCACTGTGAATTGATTAAATAAATGGTGGCAGTAGGGCACACTCATATGCATAACGCATTTTGGAGCTGAGACAAGCATTTCTAATTCCTTGAAATTAGATTAAACTTCGTGCACTGCAACTTCGGTTGCATGTGACACAATTTACTTGTTGAAATTTTACCTCAAAACGTCCCTGAAAATTTTCTTATTTGAATTTTGTATAAGCCAAAAGGTCTTGGAAAGCTTTTGTTTCTAATCTGCATAGCTCTTCTTCTTTTAATTGGGAATTTTATGGAGTTTTCCCCTGTTCTGCCTGTCAGTGAGTTTTGTGCACCAATCAATTACATCCACTTATTTTGCTTTTTTGCACATTTTTCCCCTGCCAAATGAGCTATTGATTAGCGGTGGACAGTTATCTCTGTGAATTTATGTACCTATGCCATAATCACAACAAGGATATTGCACCAAGCAATTCTATCCATGGCAGGCAAAAAGTTTTCAGACATCAGATATTAACATTAGTAATGAACAAAGAAAAGAACAAGAGTCAGGATTTTAAAAACATTGTAGTATGATATTCCTGCAGACCACTATGTCTGTTGGGGGTAAGAACTCACTTATCTGAGACTAGCAGAAGAGTGCATCAATAAATGTGATAAAGGAGATAATGTTTAAAGGCAAAATACAGATAGTCCTTGTTCAGTTCATTTAGTGATTGTTCAAAGTTACAATGGCATTGAATAAAGTGATTTATGATCATTTTTCCCTCACAACCTTTGCAGCATCCCCATGATCATGTGATCGAAATTCAGATGTTTGGCAATTGGTTCATATTTATGATGTTTGCTGTATCCCTGGATCATGTGATCATCCTTTGTGATTGTCTGACAAGCAAAATCAATGGGGAAGCCAGTTTCTCTTAACAAACGGGTTACTAATTTAATTTCAGTGATTCACTTAAGATTTTTGTAAAATGGGGCAAAGCTCACTTAACAAATGTCTCTCTTAACACAGAAATTTTGGGCACAATTGTGGTCATAAGTTGAGGAATACTTGCACTATTGGACAGTTTTGCCACAATAGCTAAGAATGTATTGTTAGCAGAACACAATCTGAGATGTGATTTAAATAATAATAATAATAAATAGCATGTTGAATTGAGTACTTAAAGTACTTTAATGCATTGACCTCATTTAGCTATTCAGATATATCATTTTAATGGAAGTGTCATTTTACCTTCATGGTTTATGTTTCCAAAATATCAAAAAACATTAAGTACCCTACTTGTTTGGCTAGTTTAGGTAAATATTGAAAGGTTTCAAGTCACACACAAACTTAATTTTATGCAGCATTCATTTATAGGAAAGAAAAAAGTGAGAGACTCATTTGTGCAGACCCTTGTCAAGTACAGAAACCTTATTGATTTTTGTTTCCTGTGGATCAATAGCATTTCATAAGACAAAGGTTATTTTCCCCTTTCTTCCACGTCTCTGACTAATCCATTGGCCATTATAATGTGAGAACTCATAGATGTGGTGCAATTGAGATGAAGTGTCCCAAGTTACATATAAGGTCATGGACGACCTTTAAGATACTCTGGTCTCCAAAAATATAATTCTGTTGGTCAAAGTATGACATGAATTTGCATAGATTTTGTTTCTTTGTCAAGTTTGTCAATTATTGCTAACTTCTTGTTTAGTGTCTTGCTGTTATGTTCTTTATTTTGTTAAATAGGGGACCAACACCGGGGGGGAGGAATCCAAATCTTTTTGACCATATTGGCGGGGGGGGGGGATAATTGAATAATTTCATCCAAAAATGTCCTTTTTGTGACTCCCCAAATTATGAGGTACCTGGCATTGTATCTAATTAAGAATTAAGATACATGATCATACCTTCCTTAGTGGATTATATTTCAGCCATCTCTATTCAGACCATGTCTTCAAAACTTTTTTTAGTTAACAGCTTATCTCTCCAGGGAAGTTAGAGACTGCTTTCCTACAAAGCGTTTAAAATGAAATAAACATATTATTCACTCACATTTTAAGAAGGGAGTTTCATGAGATTTCATTGTTAATAATTTTTTGTTTCTTTTCATACAGAAGGTTTGAAAAGTAGCAGTTTCAGTGAAGATAATTTCCCTTAATGCTACTTATCTGTTTAAGAAGCAGGATTTGGATATGCAGATAACTTCGTCATAGCTTAGACTACATTTATTATATAACCTTTGACATAGAAATTATTTTATTTATTCCTAATAATTGATTTTCAATTAATTCTAAAATGCTTTACTGCCCCCCCCCCACAATTAAACAATGGCAATGTACAATTCTGAAACTTTTAAAAATTATTAAAATGTTGGCAGAGATTTTAAAGTGAACTTTATTGTTATAGCACGACTTTAAAAACAAAGAGATTTCTGTAGCTTTTTAAGAAAAGAGTTTGATTTTTCAAACTTTCTGGCAGAGAATTCTTTCTTACTTGTTACATGATAACTCAGTCAGTCCAGAAGTGCTTAAGAATCCCCCATTTTTAAAGAGTTCAGTGATTATTGTAAATACATCAACTTTAAAAAGGAGAAATAAAAAGACAGAAGACTCAGCATTTTCATAAAGTCAGCGTAGCTTCTATCTTACTTTGGACTTGACAAGCTGAATGTTCTCACATATGTTTAATAAGTTCTTTGATGTATCTGACAATTTTCAACAAGCAGTCTAAACTAAATCTTACTTTGCCTTTCAGCTCAAGTTCAGACATCATAAGAGATTTAGAAATTGCTGGGATGTGTTCAGACTCATCAGATAAGTAAGTGTGAAATGAGATCATTGTTTTCCATGTCATAAAATTATCGTTGATTTATTTTTGTCACTTAGCTAGCAGGACACTTGGCCAATGTGGTTGGAAAACTTGCTAACTATTTTGGCTTGGAGTCAGAAAACTTCATAAATAAAAAAAGATTTGGTTGCAGTGAGCTTCCTTCTCCTGTAGGTCAAGTTCCTTTCATTTCCCATTAGAATCCAGAAAAGCTTCTCCTGATGGTAAGAATGCAATCTTCAGTGTGGGATGCTATATAGCAGGGGTGTCAAACTCAAGACCCACGGGCCGGATCCGGCCTGCGGGGTACTTAGATCTGACCTGCCACCCTGGAAATAGTGAAGGAACCTCCCACAGTGCCACTGCCAGAAGGCCGTGTGCTGCTCTCCTGAGCTCTGTTTTTGCTGGCAGAGGGTTGGAGGAAGACTTGGAAATAGAGCTTGGGAACCCGTTTTCACTGACAGAGCTCTCGGGCCACCACAAGTGCCCCCCGACATGAGTGACATCAAGCTGGTCACACCCAGGTCAAACAGAACACCTCCCTCCAAGATCAAACAACCATGATGTGTCCCTCAATGAAATCAAGTTTGACACCCCTGCTATATGGTGCAGGAAGCTGAAAAACAACAAAAAGAAGAAAAATATGGAATGAGTATGTTCCCTTCTGTTAGCAATTCCTGTCTTTTTCCTCTGTCTTCTGTATTCCATTCTATTTAAGAGCGGGTACTCTGACCTTTCCAAAAGATCTTTTGGCAGGAACAGAATTTGCCAAAGAAGGAAGAAACAGCGAACCTGGTTTTTTGCTTATTCATTTCTGCCAGGGCAGAATAAAAGCTGATACGAGTATCATTTTATTTCCAGGACTTCATGTTTTAATTCTTGCTTCTGTCTCTTCTAAGATTATAAACAGTCTGTCTAGTCAATGAAGACTTAATACTGAAAATACTAAAACTGCCGCCTTGTCTTTCCATTATCATGTTGCCGTTCTTATCCTCTTGGGGCTCATCCTCACATTGACAGCAATGTGCTTTCCTCCCATCCTTGAACCAGATATTAAACAATTGCTTCTGGGGCCTACCTTGACTGCATATTGGTTGTCAATCTTGCTGCCTGCAGATTGTAATGCAGAAGAGTTTAAAAGCAGAGATTGGCAGAGATCTTGCTATCCTTTCCCTTCCCACTCAGTGTTATCTACCCATAGGAAATTGGCCTCCTGATATGTTTTAATTTTCTGATGGAGGATGGCTTTTTAATTTTGGACAATTTGAAGCATAAAATGCTGAGCTACCCATGCTGTTGGTCACTGACAGGTTAGGTCAGTTCAATTGGCAGCAGAACCATTCTTGGGAAAATGGAGACTGGACAACTGCTTAAAAAGTAAAAATGGGGAAATTGGCCTGAGTATGTAGAAGAGATGAAAGGTCACCACAGACCCTGGGAATGCTGGATTTCCCATCCAGATTTCCATAAAGCCAGGAACAAATACCAATAATTATCTCTATTTCTAGAAATGAATTGGCCGTCTAGTCAGTTTCAAACTAGCTTTTTTTGTGTTCAGTTAGTCAATTTCAATTAACCAAACTCTTTGGGTTTGGAGAGGTGGGGTAGGATAGCCCCTCAGTGGATGTGGGGCTTGTTCTTTAGAATCTGTTTTCCTTATATAATCCTGTTAAGTTGCCTCCATTAGTTTGGCAGAAACCAAAGCTCCAATCACACAAATTCAGTCAAGAGGAGAGGAAACAATAACCAGCAATTAGTTAGCAGTCTCTTTCCTTCCTCAAGGGGACATGATGGATTTGCAGTTAAAGACACTGAGCTTGTCAGCTGGAAAGCTGACAACTCAGGTTTGACACCCAAGCACCATGTGATGTTGTGAGCTCCTATTACTTACCCCAGTTCCTGTTCACCTAACAGTTTGAAAACATGCAACTGAGAGTGGATGAATAGGTACCACTTCAGTGGAAAGGTAAGGTGCCATGCACGTCATCAAATAGTCATGCTGGCCACATTATCATGGAAATGTCTTTGGACGACACTGTCTCCCTAGACTAAGAAACACAGATGAGTACCACCCCCTAGAATTGGACACCACTGGAAAGGAGAAACCTTTACCTTTATCTTTTTTCCCCTCCTCAACTCCTCCCGTGTACTGCCCTTTTTCATGCAAACTCCCATGACAAATTCATCTTAGTTCATTCAGTCTTTATTTGGAAATATATTTATTTTGCTGCAGGAGCGAAGGTTCATCGTTCCCAGTTGTCAGGTTTTATACTCAAGCTCAGCACTAAATCTCAGACTGTCCAAATGCAGAATTTAAGAATAAAAAGCCTCTCAGTCATGATTCAGTTAATCAGAGCTGTTTATAATAGATAAGAATGAAGCCATATGCATACAGATTATTTGCACTCTGAAAAAAAAAACACCTTTGTATAGGTGCCAGAGTTTAACCTCTAGGCTTTTCTTCTTGTCTTTCCAAGTAAATAGACATTTGGCAGTTCATTTAGTGGCCTTGGGCAATTCAGACATGTTTTCCTAAAGATTTTTTCTAGTCTGGGAACCACACATTTCCACTTGACTAAATTGAGCACTTATACCTAATTCAGTTTGAGTGTAGGGGCAAAAGAAAACTCTACAGATAAGGTTCAAATGGAAATATTTGGTTTTTTTTTAATAGCTTTGCATTGTCTAGCTCGGTTAGGCACAGGAGAATATATTCCCAGCCAGTATAACATTTCTTTATTTTGGTAGCCCAGAGAGCTTTTTTTTTATTTTGTGTGAAAAAGATGTTGACTCTTAGGAACGTTCTAAGCAATTCCATCCTGTTTTTAAAATGGGTCTATTGACATTTCACCTGAAATAATGATTAGCAAGAAGAAAAACAAAATCATCTTGACAGGCAGCTTATACAAAGTGAGATAGATTGCCAGACTTTACTCCTGGAAGTAAATTAAAACAAAACAAAATTAGCATACATAAATTGAGAAAATGCATTCAAAAATTGTTGTTGCAGAGATTACTCAAAAGTTTGTAGGAAGTCCTGTTAAACATTACTTGAATTGGCTCTATCCTTTGATATATCGAGGTTACAGGTAGTTCTGACTAAAGGACCACATGCTCAGCAACTGTTTAGCAAGTAGCATTTATGACCTGTTCTCAATGTTGTGGCCATCACAATGACTCGGCAGTCATGTCTTCACCATCTTGGTGCTTGATCAGTTTGCAATGTTGATGTCATAGCATCATACAGTTCTGTGATTGCTTTTTGCAACCTTCCTTGCTGGCTTCCAACAAATCAAGTCAGTAGGGAAGCTGGCAGGAGGTCATGAATGACGACCGTATAGCGGCGTGGTCATGTGACATCATGTTTTATGACTGTCGCCTAATGACAGAAATTCTGGTCCCAATTGCCATCATTAATCAAGAACTACCTATAATAGTAAAATTGAAATTTGACTGTATAAATGTTTTTCTTTCTTGCCTCGCATGCCAACATTGTTTTTGAAAGAGGGAAAGATGGGATATAACTTAAAGATGCAGTACGGGCAGTCCTTGGTGTACAACCACAATTGATCCCAAATTCTATTGCTAAGCAAGACAATTGTAAAGTGAGTTTGGCCCCATTTTACAACTTTCCTTGCCACAGTTGTTAAGTGAATCACTGCAGTTGTTAAAATAATACCACGGTTGTTAAGTGAATCTGGCTTCCCCATTGGCTTTGCTTGCCAGAAGGTTGCAAAAAGTGATTACATGAACCTGGGATCCTACAACCATCATAAATATGAGACAGTTGTCAAGTGTCCTAATTTTGATCAGGTGACCAAGGGGATGCTGTTAACAGTTGTGTAAAAAAACAGTACTTTTTTCAGTGTCATTGTAACTTTGAACAGCCAATAAATGAATGGTTGTAAGTCGAGGATTACTTGTACAGAATAACTCAAACTTTAATCTTCTTGTTGCAATTTTGTCACCGGTGGAGGATAGAACAGTAGAGCCAGAAATACTGTTGAAATATATTGTGAATGCAACTATGTTTTTTAAAAAAAACAAATAGCGTTTGTAGTTACAGTTGTAGAATTTTAGTTTTATTCCACAAGTAAGTAACTAATCAATTCTCTTCCAGAAATCTGGTTATTACACATATCCAGAATATATATATATATATTTGAATAGGTTGGTTATGATTTTTGTAAGGATGATAATTAAACAATATTCATGTTTAAGAACTATGCTCTATTTTTGTTCCAGATGAGTTTGACATCTTATTTAATTGAACTGTTCAGTTTAAATTTACCACAACAATTGTTTATGCCTTTTAAACCCTTTCAGTTTATGAACCTGGTCCATATGTTTCATTAAACATGATTTATTTCATTGTAGTATAAGGCGCTGTATAAACCTAACTGCGATTTCTTCAGTAAGGTATGGATAAAAGAAAGTACACATGGTATTCTGTGTGAATTGTAAATATAGTCACCTTGTATGGTCTTAAACAGAGGCTTTCCACCAAATCTTTACAAATCTGTAACTCACCCTGTATTAAATGTTACAATTTTGGAATATATTTGTTGATGAAGATTTACTAATTTGGGCAGATGAAATTGTTCGAGTAACTCAGGGTTCTCAAACTCTGGTGATCTGACCCTCTTAATGTAATTACTTTGAACACATTTTCCCCATGAATAAACATATCAAACTATATTCAGACCCAGCTCCTGCTGGGCCTCCCATCAGGCAGTGTCATTCTCTTTCAAGAAGAAAAGAGGCACCGCTTAGATTGCCTGGAGTGGCTCAACACCAGGGAGAAAACAAACATGCGCGCACGCGCGCGCACACACACACTCATTCAATCACTCACACATTTACTGCAGGAAGAAGAAGTACAATTTATCAGAGTTTGTTTCAGAAAAATCAAATCCAGAAAGCACACACAGATAACTGATTCAGCTGCATTCATTAACTTCTTTATATATATAATAACATGAATAAAATGT